GGGTTGGAATAGTTTAAAAAATGCAGTATTAGAATGTGGGGCAGAAGTTTGTGGTTATAGGAGGGTGGGTGCAGGAGAAAAGAGGAGTGATTGGCGGAATGATGAAGTAAAGGGTGTGATAGGAGAGAAAAAGGTAGCTTATGACAGGTTTTTACAAAGCAGAAGTGTTATAAGAAGAGTAGAGTATATGGAGAGTAAAAGGTGAAGAGAGTGGTGAGAGAGTGCAAAAGGAGAGCAGATGATAGAGTGGGAGAGGCTCTGTCAAGAAATTTTAATGAAAATAAGAAAAAATTTTGGAGTGAGTTAAACAAGTTAAGAAAGCCTAGGGAACGAATGGATTTGTCAATTAAAAACAGAGTAGGGGAGTTAGTAGATGGGGAGATGGAGATATTGGGTAGATGGCGAGAATATTTTGAGGAACTTTTAAATGTCGACTAAGAAAGGGAGGCGGTAATTTCATGCACTGGCCAGGGAGGTATACCATCTTGTAGGAGTAAAGAAGAGCAGGATGTGAGTGGGGGGGAGGTGTGTGAGGCATTATGTAGAATGAAAGGAGGTAAAGCAGCTGTAACTGATGGGATCATGACATGTTAAAAGAAGGGGGAGATATGGTGTTGGAGTGGTTGGTATTTTTGTTTAATAAATATATGAAAGAGGGGAAGGTACCTAGTGATTGGCGGAGAGTGTGTATAGTCCCTTTATATAAAGGGAAGGGGGACAAAAGAGATTGTAAAAATTATAGAGGAATAAGTTTGCTGAGTATACCAGGAAAAGTGTACGGTAGGGTTATTATTGAAAGAATTAGAGGTAAGACAGAATGTAGAATTGCAGATGAGCAAAGAGGTTTTAGAGTGGGTAGGGGATGTGTAGATCAAGTGTTTACATTAACCCTTAAACGGTCCAAACGTATATATACATTCACGCGCGTAGCACCCCAAACGTATATATACGTTTTCTTTGTCATTCATTCAACATTGCCACAATAAGCCTGAGTCACCTAGACATGAGAGAATGGATGTGTGCACTCACTGTGTTCCGTATTAAAATAATTGGGGATGCCTGGGTACCATATGCTCTTTTTTCCTTTTAAAAGAAAAGATTTCTTTTTTCCTCAAAAAATTTGGGGCGCTACGCGAGTGAACGTATATATATGTTTGGACCATTTAAGGGTTAAAGCATATATGTGAACAGTATTTAGATAAAGGTAGGGAAGTTTTTATTGCATTTATGGATTTAGAAAAGGCATATGATAGAGTGGATAGGGGAGCAATGTGGCAGATGTTGCAAGTACAGTAGACCCCCGGTTAACGATATTTTTTCATTCCAAAGTATGTTCAGGTGCCAGTACTGACCGAATTTGTTCCCATAAGGAATATTGTGAAGTAGATTAGTCCATTTCAGACCCCCAAACATACACATACAAACGCACTTACATAAATACACTTACATAATTGGTAGCATTGGGAGGTGATCGTTAAGCGGGGTTCCACTGTATATGGAATAGGTGGTAAGTACTAAATGCTGTTAAGAGTTTTTATGAGGATAGTGAGGCTTAGGTTAGGGTGTGTAGAAGAGAGGGAGACTACTTCCCGGTAAAAGTAGGTCTTAGACAGGGATGTGTAATGTCACCATGGTTGTTTAATATATTTATAGATGGGGTTGTAAAAGAAGTAAATGCTAGGGTGTTCGGGAGAGGGGTGGGATTAAATTATGGGGAATCAAATACAAAATGGGAAGTGACACAGTTACTTTTTGCTGATAATGTGCTTATGGGAGATTCTAAAGAAAAATTGCAAAGGTTAGTGGACAAATTTGGGGTTGTGTGTAAAGGTAGAAAGTTGAAAGTGAACATAGAAAAGAGTAAGGTGATGAGGGTATCAAATGATTTAGATAAAGAAAAATTGGTTATCAAATTGGGGAGGAGGAATATGGAAGAAGTGAATATTTTCAGATATTTGGGAGTTGACTTGTCAGCAGATGGATTTATGAAGGATGAGGTTAATCATAGAATTGATGAATGAAAAAAGGTGAGTGGTGCATTGAGGTATATGTGGATACAAAAAATGTTATCTATAGAGGCAAAGAAGGAAATGTATGAAAGTATAGTAGTACCAACACTCTTATATGGGTGTGAAGCTTCGGTTGTAAATGCTGCAGCGAGGAGGCAGTTGGAGGCAATGTAGATGTTCTGTCTAAGGGCAATGCGTGGTGTAAATATTATGCAGAAAATTCGGAGTGTGGAAATTAGGAGGTGTGGAGGTAATAAAAGTATTAGAGGGCTGAAGAGGGGTTGTTGAGGTAGTTTGGTCATTTAGAGAGAATGGATCAAAGTAGAATGATATGGAGAGCGTATAAATCTGTAGGGGAAGGAAGGCGGGATAGGGGTCATCCTCAAAAAGGTTGGAGGGAGGGGGTAAAGGAGGTTTTGTGGGCGAGGGGCTTGGACTTTCAGCAAGCATGCGTAAGCATGTTAGATAGGAGTGAATGGAGACGAATGGTATTTGGGACTTGACGAGCTGTTGGAGTGTGAGCAGGGTAATATTTAGTGAAGGGATTCAGGGAAACTGGTTATTTTATATAGCCGGACTTGAGTACTGGAAATGGGAAGTACAATGCCTGCACTTTAAAGGAGGGGTTTGGAATATTGGCAGTTTGGAGGGATATGTTGTGTATCTTTATACGTATATACTTCTAAACTGTTGTATTCTGAGCACCTCTGCAAAAACAGTGATTATGTGTGAGTGAGGTGGAAGTGTTGAATGATGATGAAAGTATTTTGTTTTTGGGGATTTTCTTTCTTTTTGGGTCACCCTGACTCGGTGGGAGATGGCCGACTTGTTAAAGAAAAAAAAAACAGTTACATAGATTATCATACATAGCAGCTATGTATAGAGAACTGAGGATAACCCAAAAATGTCAGACAACGTGACTTATTTCCAGTACCTGGCTTGGACTTGCCGTATGTGATTTTTGGTAAATATTTTTTTCTCAGTTGTTTGTTGGGCTGTCTTACTGAAACTTGGGCAATGTATGATGGAAAGGTGCTTTTCAACATACACCAAAAATGAAAAAAATCAGACCATAAATAACAAAGAGTTCACTTCTCAGTCATTAGCTGCCCCTTAGCGGTATATTTTCATATGGTTTTTATGGCTGTATTCTCATTTTTTTTATTGGTCTCATTTGATAGAATGGAAGATATATTACAGAAATAGATATGATTTTGATTGGTTTCACTATGAAAAGTACCTTTCAATTGAGCTCAAAGTAGCGGAAATGTTTGATTTTTGCCAATGTTCAGTGAACTTTGTGTAAGTCAAATTGCTAACTTTATTAAGTGTATTCTAACCTAACCACTCTGTAATCCAGCAAACTCAATAATCCGTTATAGAATGCTCCTCACTTAGCAACAAATTTGTTTACTGACGTGGTGTTAGGAATGGAACTCCGTCGTTATCCCCTTGAGGGTCCGTGTCGTAGATCTACGGCTTTACATTGAGGGTCCAAACCATAGATCTACGTCATGAGCTCAGCTCACTCTGATATGCTGTGAGCGGTAAATTTTGGCCTTGATATGAGAGAATGCATTTATGTGGTATGTGTGCACCACATAAAACAAATCCTGCAGCACATAGTGCATAATGAGAGAAAAAACTGAGACCGTAATTTTCGATTAAAACAGCGACTTTGCAGTATTTTTTCATATGTTTTTTATAGTTGTATTTGCGATTTCTTGGTCTCATTTGATAGAATGGAAGACATATTACAGAATTAGTGATGATTTTGATTGGTTTTAGTACTGTAAATGGCTTGAAACTGAGCTCAAAGTAGCCGAAATGTTAAATTTATGCCAATGTTCAAGAGTAAACAAATGACCTCACACGTCTAATACACGCCACCTGGTGGGTCTAATATACATTCACAAATATGGTGATGATATTTATACAATTATTGCAATATTGCATAACAGTAAATCTTCTATTTTTTGGCTTGAATAAAAATTCATTATGTGAATAAAAAATCAAAATGGAATTTATTAGTAAAGCCTCAAAACGTAACTAATGAACAGAGGAAATGTTAGTTTAGTGCCAGGAATGCCTGCACTGTTTATTCTGGACCCTATTTTGAAATTGGAGTATTTTGAACTTTGCATTAAATTGGCCAAATTACCAATTTCCAATCACTATTTTGTAGTTGAAACAGTTCACTTGGCGAATTCTTGTGCTTAATTGATAGAATAGAAGTAATACTAGTGAAATAGCTAAGAATTTGGTCAACTGGAATAATGTAATTGGCCTAAAATGGGAGTCAAATTTCGCAGAATCGTCGATGCGTAGATATCGCTGACACATCAAAATTCGCGAGAGCACAATTTCGTCAATTTTCCATCAAATTTCGTACTCTTTGTTTTATTACCTTCAGAAAAAGATTCTTTACCATTTCTTAAGAAAAAATAACAAAATTATTTTTTGAAAATTCTTGGACCCTGATGGACCCTTTGAAATTTGGCCTCTTGACCCTGAAAGGGTTAAGTGAGGAGAGGCTGTATTATCATCATCATCATCATCATCATCATCAATCATCATTATCATCAATCATCATCATCATCAATCATCATCAATCATCATCAATCATCATCATCAATCATCATCAATCATCATCAATCATCATCATCAATCATCATCAATCATCATCATCAATCATCATCATCAATCATCATCATCAATCATCATCAATCATCATCAATCATCATCAATCATCATCATCAATCATCATCAATCATCATCATCAATCATCATCATCAATCATCATCATCATCATCATCATCATCATCATCATCATCATCATCATCATCGCTTAAGATACAAGGAGTACTATCTCCTTTCAGATGTTTACAGTCAGGTTAAAAGTAGATCACCATGCCACATTTTGTTTAACCTTTAAACTGTCAATGAGGGTAAGATGAAACTGGTGAGAAATTGATCATCGTCATTTTTCAGTCGTTGGTGTCTCGGGATGGCGTTGAACTAGTTTCACCAATCAATCCTGGAGAACGAAACTACGAGTCTGGTCGTCGCCGCCACAGGGTGCAAGAACCTCCAGCATGGGTACCTGACCAACAAGCTCCTAGATGCATGGCTTGTGGAGCAGCTTTTACTATGGTCCGTAGACGCCATCACTGCAGAAATTGTGGCAAGGTACATACAGTATACTGTATGTATTTTAATTCATGCAATTAGGTTCCTCGGCTCAAGGTTGTAGGTTGGTAGACAGCAGCCACCCAGGAGGTACTACTGTCCTGCCAAGTGAGTGTAAGATGGAAACCTGTATTTTGTTTTACACAGTGATGTAAAACAAAATACAGGTAGTGTTTTTTTTCTGTCTCATAAACCACAAGATAACAGTTAGGTCACATTACACGTTCATGTACATATTTATGTATACACACTCGTCTGAGTTTTCTTTGATTTTTTCTTTAATAGTTATTGTTGTTATTTCCTTTCATCTCCATGGGGAAGTGGAATAAGAATCTTTCCTTAATATATGCTGTGGAACACTCATTCTTCCTCATTCAGTAGTACTTCAGCAAGCATTTACTGAATACAGACATTATTTTCCAAGAACTTCAACTGCAGCAGCTATCTATTCTCAAAGTTGATGCTTGTGTCCATCATGCAAGAGAACAGTGAAAGTACTGCACCCAAGCAGTGTTTCAAAATTAACATTCATCAGCCACCCACCACCTTCATTACCTCCCACACCATTAACTGTACACTCACCCACCCATTCACCCATCCTCATGAGCATCCCCATTTCACTACCCACACTGGGCCCGCAACACTGCCACCTAAAGCTTGACCATTGCTCCACCTTGTTGCTGCCACCCTACACAATAAGGCACTTCTGTTTGCTGGTAAAAATGTGGATGTGGGATCTTTGACACACTTCACTACACTGATCTACAGTTACATTATTATTACAGTTTTACTCAAATTTGAGTGGCTATTTTTGGAGGATTTACAGACTTTAACCTTATTTTTTCCTACCGTCGTCAGTTCATTTTACAAAATTTTTTTATTGCATTCCATTTTCAAGAAAATAATCACTGTGTTAACTGACAGTCAGCTGTATGTAACAGCAAGTATTAAAAACAGTAAATGACTTTTTCAGGTGACTGCATTAGTTAAAATAGTATCTTTATAAGTGTGTAAATTAAAACAGTTTTTTCAGGTATACGACTAATTAATGATAACAGGGTAATATTTAGTGAAGGGATTCAAGGAAACCGGTTATTTTTATATAGCCGGACTTGAGTCCTGGAAATGGGAAGTACAATGCCTGCACTTTAAAGGAGGGGTTTGGGATATTGACAGTTTGGAGGGATATGTTGTGTATCTTTATACGTATATGTTTTTAACTGTTGTATTCTGAGCACCTCTGCAAAAACAGTGATTATGTGTGAGTGAGGTGAAAGTGTTGAATGATTATGAAAGTATTTTCTTTTTGGGGATTTTCTTTCTTTTTGAGTCACCCTGCCTCGGTGGGAGACGGCCGACTTGGTGTAAAAAAAAAAAAAAATGATATCTGTACCTCCTTATAAGTCAAATTAAAGTCTAACATTTTTATTTAGGTGTTTTGTGCACACTGCAGCCAACATGCAGTACCTCTACCGCATTATGGAATATGGAAGGCCGTACGTGTGTGTAATGTTTGCTTCCTTTACTATGTCACCTTTACAACAGAAACTACAACTCCATCTTCTTGACCCCACTATACAAGCAGTGAGGATCCACATCATCGGCACTGCCGTGTGCATAGTCAACACTGTAAGAGACAGTGCTGTAACCAGCACCTCCACTACTACATCCTCTACCAGCACTATCATTAACATATATACTGTTCCACAGTGTTCAGTGTAGATTCCATTGCAGTTACCTTTAACCACAACAAGTGAAATTGTAATAACAGTTGTGGAGATTTTCAGCATACTAGTTCAGTAGAACCAACCAATTTCCAACTTGATTGACTGTCTGCACTTCAACCCTAGAGCAGTTGCTAAATAATTAAGCCTCATCTAAATGCCTTAATGTCTGACTGTTAATGTTACCAAAGGTGTCTTGCAGTTCATTATGTGAAGTTTTATTATAGTTGTCAACAGGATTTTCACTTTGCTTCAATATAGAGGTAATAGTATGTTCAGTGATATACTGTGCATTGGATACCATGTATCTAGATATTTAGATTCAAACTGTTATTAAAATGTTATTAAGTCCCACTGGCTGGGTCACTGCCATGAGAATATGTTACTTTGGATGTGAGTAAATATCACTAAGACAGTACCGTACTTTACTTTTTTATTATTACTACAAATTCCAGTTAACAAATTGTGTAATAGGAATATATTCTAAAAGAACTATTTAGTAAGTGTATTTTATTCAACATTTTAAATTATATTTGTTTTAAGATGAGACTCATGCCAATACTTATTTTCCCTTGTACTTGTATTATCAGTATAAATATAAGCAAAATTGGTTTCAGGTTTTTAAAAGAAGAACTGTGCTATTATTAAAAGAAGCTCATTTTTAGATAACTGTTCACAAATTGCTCTAGTAAAATACCAATTCAAATATACCCTAGTCAGATTTTTACATAAAATTATTTGAAAGAAAAGTGTAATTCCTTAAATAAAATGGTGCATGTCACTGCAGTACTACACAATATTGGGTTGGAATCTCCCTTGAAAGTAAAAGAATATTAGAATGAGATAACTTTATTTGTAGCTGAAGACATGATTATACAGACATTTGAAAATTTAACTGACTTTAGGTTTTCAGTTTGGTGAGCATTTGATAAAAGCTTAATTTAACAATTCATGAAGTTTTGCACAGGAAAGTCTTACATTATGCTGTTTTCATTAAAAATTATTTCCAAAAATTCTGCCTATATCTTTCCTCAGCACCACCACCTTCTCCTAACCATATCTTTCACATCTGTAATGTGACCCTTTTTGAGTTTAGCACTTTTTAGGAATAGAATAATTTGGAAATTGCTTCTCTCTTCGCTGTGTGATTTGCTGCAATACTGTAAACAGTCTTGATAATTATTGCATAAACATTTCAAAGTATCAGTAAAGAATATTTGGTATTTGTGGTTTGCATATGGTACCTCATGAAAAAAAATCTAAAAATAGTAACTTTATTGTGCTCTTTAAGAAAAGAAATAACAAAAAGGCACAATACCGTGACTGGAATGATACACAAATAACCAGCACATACAAGAGAGAAGCTTACGACGACGTTTCGGTCCGACTTGGACCATTGACAAAGTCACACTGTGTGACTTTGTCAATGGTCCAAGTCGGACCGAAACGTCGTCGTAAGCTTCTCTCTTTTATGTGCGGGTTATTTGTGTAAGAAAAGAAAGTTGAACAACCTTGTACAAAAAATTTTTTTGGGGTGACACGGTAAGATCTTTTGGTCAATTTGATTTTCCTACTTTATGAGGTAGTAATTCAATATCAGTTTGGTATTATTCCTAGAAAATAAACCCTTATATATTTAACTGATAATTCATTTATTATTTAAAGTACAGTTACAGTTAGAAACAAAAGGTCGAATTTCTAAAAATTTTGCAATTTTGATTTGCGATAGAGTCAGGCATAGTACAAGTTAAAGAACTTTTAATATGATTAAAATGGCCTTAATAATGACAATTGTTATAAATAAAAACCATGTCCATTTCCATTGCCTAAATTCATTAACTGTTGTATATACAATTGTCAAATTATTTCATATTGGTGCCAAAAATTATTTCAGACATTTTTTACAACATTTATAGTGTTTAAAGAAAGAAGATGCATCTTTAAAAAGTTACATTGATTTTAACTTGCTTTTTATCAAAAAAAAAAATTGTCAATTTTTATTTTGTCTTACACACCAAAGTTAAACAGTGAAATAATAGAAAGGTAAAAAAAAGATTATCACTTTGGATCTTCTTATACATGCTATTATTACTTAATATAACTATAATACTCTACATACTTGTTTAATTACTTTTTATTTTCTTACTACATCCATTTCCTACCAAGGTGATCCAAAGAACCATTAACCATCACTCATCTCTAGCTGTCTTGACAGAAATGAATGAACATAATTCAAATGACCCTCAAACAGTAACAACCCCACCCATATACACTACTGCAAATCTCCAGAACTCTTAAGTCCAGCTAACCAGTTTCCTCTGAATCCCTTCATGAATGTTATCTTGCTCACACTTCAACTTTGGCAGTTGATGTTACATAAGATCATCTTAATCAAACAAGCAATAAGCATTAAAACTGAAATATAATGTTTAAATTTCGGTTGAGTATTTATTTTGGAAAGTGCAATATTCTGTGTAATTTAACCCATTGACTGTCGCAAACCCAAATCCTGAGGTGTCTCCTGGTGTCGCAAAATTTCTGAAAAAAAAAAAAAAAAAATCTTATGAAATGATAGAGAATCTTTTCCTGATTGTAATGACTCCAAAATAATGAAATTTGATAGAAAACTGATGTAATTATGCTTTCACAAAGTTAGCGACCTCTGCGATATTTACAAATTGGCGATTTCACCCACTTGGAGCCCTATTTTCAGCTAATCCCATTGTTCCAGTCGACCAAACTCCTAGCTATTTCTTTAGAACTCCATTTTTTTCTATCGACTGAGTACAAGAAATTGCCCATTTACCGTGGTTAGAAATTTGCAATTTGGCCAATTTCATGAAAATTTAAAAAAATACGACAATTTCAAAATAGGGTCCAGAATGAACAATGCAGACATTCCTGGCTCTAAAATAACATTTTCTTTGTTTATCAGTCATGTCTCCAGGCCCCTCTGATATTACTCTTGCTTTCTATTTTGGACTTTTATTCAAACAAAAAATAAAAGATTTACTGTTATGCAGACTACTGCAATATTGTAATATTTTTTTTTTATTATTATTATCACACTGACCGATTCCCACCAAGGCAGGGTGGCCCGAAAAAGAAAAACTTTCACCATCATTCACTCCATCACTGTCTTGCCAGAAGGGTGCTTTACACTACAGTTTTTAAACTGCAACATTAACACCCCTCCTTCAGAGTGCAGGCACTGTACTTCCCATCTCCAGGACTCAAGTCTGGCCTGCCGGTTTCCCTGAACCCCTTCATAAATGTTACTTTGCTCACACTCCAACAGCACGTCAAGTATTAAAAACCATTTGTCTCCATTCACTCCTATCAAACACGCTCACGCATGCCTGCTGGAAGTCTTAGCCCCTCGCACACAAAACCTCCTTTACCCCCTCCCTCCAACCTTTCCTAGGCCGACCCCTACCCCGCCTTCCTTCCACTACAGACTGATACACTCTTGAAGTCACTCTGTTTCGCTCCATTCTCTCTATATGTCCGAACCACCTCAACAATCCTTCCTCAGCCCTCTGGACAACAGTTTTGGTAATGCAAACTACGAATTCTCTGCATTATATTCACACCACACATTGCCCTCAGACATGACATCTCCACTGCCTCCAGCCTTCTCCTCGCTGCAACATTCATGACCCATGCTTCACACCCATATAAGAGCGTTGGTAAAACTATACTCTCATACATTCCCCTCTTTGCCTCCAAGGACAAAGTTCTTCGTCTCCACAGACTCCTAAGTGCACCACTCGCCCTTTTTCCCTCATCAATTCTATGATTCACCTCATCTTTCATAGACCCATCCGCTGACACGTCCACTCCCAAATATCTGAATACATTCACCTCCTCCATACTCTCTCCCTCCAATCTGATATCCAATCTTTCATCACCTAATCTTTTTGTTATCCTCATAACCTTACTCTTTCCTGTATTCACTTTTAATTTTCTTCTTTTGCATGCCCTACCAAATTCATCCACCAATCTCTGCAACTTCTCTTCAGAATCTCCCAAGAGCACAGTGTCATCTGATAGCAAAGAGTAACTGTGACAACTCCCACTTTGTGTGATTCTTTATCTTTTAACTCCACGCCTCTTGCCAAGACCCTCGCATTTACTTCTCTTACAACCCCATCTATAAATATATTAAACAACCATGGTGACATCACACATCCTTGTCTAAGGCCTACTTTTACTGGGAAATAATTTCCCTCTTTCCTACATACTCTGACTTGAGCCTCACTATCCTCGTAAAAACTCTTCACTGCTTGCAGTAACCTACCTCCTACACCATACACCTGCAACATCTGCCACATGCCCCCCTATCCACCCTGTCATACGCCTTTTCCAAATCCATAAATGCCACAAAGACCTCTTTAGCCTTATCTAAATACTGTTCACTTATGTGTTTGACTGTAAACACCTGGTCCACACACCCCCTACCTTTCCTAAAGCCTCCTTGTTCATCTGCTGTCCTATTCTCCGTCTTACTCTTAATTCTTTCAATAATAACTCTATCATACACTTTACCAGGTATACTCAACAAACTTATCCCCCTATAATTTTTGCACTCTCTTTTGTCCCCTTTGCCTTTATACAAAGGAACTATGCATGCTCTCTGCCAATCCCTAGGTACCTTACCTTCTTCCATACATTTATTAAATAATTGCACCAACCACTCCAAAACTATATCCCCACCTGCTATTAACATTTCTATCTTTATCCCATCAATCCCGGCTGCCTTACCCCCTTTCATTTTACCTACTGCCTCACGAACTTCCCCCACACTCACAACTGGCTCTTCCTCACTCCTACAAGATGTTGCTCCTCCTTGCCCTATACACGAAATCACAGCTTCCCTATCTTCATCAACATTTAACAATTCCTCGAAATATTCCCTCCATCTTCCCAATACCTCTTAACTCTCCATGTGATAACTCTCCTCTCCTATTTTTAACTGACAAATCCATTTGTTCTCTAGGCTTCCTTAACTTGTTAATCTCACTCCAAAACTTTTTCTTATTTTCAACAAAATTTGTTGATAACATCTCACCCACTCTCTCATTTGCTCTCTTTTTACATTGCTTCACCACTCTCTTAACCTCTCTCTTTTTCTCCATATACTCTTCCCTCCTTGCATCACTTCTACTTTGTAAAAACTTCTCATATGCTAACTTTTTCTCCCTTACTACTCTCTTTACATCATCATTCCACCAATTGCTCCTCTTCCCTCCCGCACCCACCTTCCTGTAACCCAAACTTCTGCTGAACACTCCAACACTACATTTTTAAACCTACCCCATACCTCTTCGACCCCATTGCCTATGTTCTCATTAGCCTATCTATCCTCCAATAGCTGTTTATATCTTACCCTAACTGCCTCCTCTTTTAGTTTATAAACCTTCACCTCTCATTTCCCTGATGCTTCTATTCTCCTTGTATCCCATCTACCTTTTACTCTCAGTGTAGCTACAACTAGAAAGTGATCTGATATATCTGTGGCCCCTCTATAAACATGTACATCCTGAAGTCTACTCAACAGTCTTTTATCTATCAATACATAATCCAACAAACTACTGTCATTTTGCCCTACATCATATCTTGTATACTTATTTATCCTCTTTTTCTTAAAATATGTATTACCTATAACTAAACCCCTTTCTATACAAAGTTCAATCAAAGGGCTCCCATTTTCATTTACACCTGGCACCCCAAACTTACCTACCACACCCTCTCTAAAAGTTTCTCCTACTTTAGCATTCAGGTCCCCTACCACAATTACTCTCTCACTTGATTCAAAGGCTCCTATACATTCACTTAACATCTCCCAAAATCTCTCTCTCTCCTCTACATTCCTCTCTTCTCCAGGTGCATACACGCTTATTATGACCCACTTTTCGCATCCAACCTTTACTTTAATCCACATAATTCTTGAATTTACACATTCATATTCTCTTTTCTCCTTCCATAACTGATCCTTCAACATTACTGCTACCCCTTCCTTTGCTCTAACTCTCTCAGATACTCCAGATTTAATCCCATTTATTTCCTCCCACTGAAGCTCCCCTACCCCCTTCAGCTTTGTTTCGCTTAGGGCCAGGACATCCAACTTCTTTTCATTCATAACATAGCAATCATCTGTTTCTTGTCATCCGCACTACATCCACGCACATTCAAGCATCCCAGTTTTATAAAGTTTTTCTTCTTCTCTTTTTTAGTAAATGTCTACAAGAGAAGGGGTTACTAGCCCATTGCTCCCGGCATTTTAGTCGCCTCATACGACACGCATGGCTTACGGAGGAAAGATTCTTTTCCACTTCCCCATGGACAATGATTGTATAAATAATGTCAACCCATTCATGACTGCATATTAGAATGGCTACTTGGACATTTATTGGAAAATGACATCATTTGTTTACTCTTGAACATCAGCAAAAATCTAACATTTCCCCTACTTTGAGCTCCATTTCAAGGTTCTTTTTATAGTAAAACCAATCAAAATCACCTCTGTTTCTATAATATGTTTTCCATTCTATCAAATGAGACCAAGAAAACGAGAATACAACTATAAATACTATACAAAAATAGACCACAAAGTCAGCGTTTTAATTAAAAAAAAAATGGTCATAGTTTTTTTTTCTCATTGTGCACTGCGTGCTGCAGGATTTTTTTTATATGGTGCACACTGACCACACACACCCATTCTCTCACATGTGGGCCTACCAGCTTTCTCCTGCTTGATTTGAAGCCGCTAGAATTTATGAGTATATATACGTCAAAAACGGTGGCTCGTAAGATGTATATATACGACCGAAACAGTCAAAGGGTTAATTTATTAATCATTATTACCTTGAAGGTCTTTCCAGTTGAAGAATTGGATACTTTGCAACATTTGGGAATTCTTTTCAGGAAATGTTTTGCCAGTCAGTGGCTTCATCAGTCCAATACTGAGAAGAGTGAAAGATGGAGAGGAGTTTGATGTAATCAGTTGTTCAGCCTGAAGTTGATGTGTTCAGTCCAAGACTGATGGACTGAACACTGACTCTAGGCTGAGGGACTGATTACCTCAAACTCCTCCTAATCTTCCACTATTCTCAGTACTGGACTGAAGAAGCCACTGGCTGGTGAAACAACACAATAAAGATTCCCAAATGTTGCAAAATTGTCCAATTCTTCAACATGTTAGTTTTCTAAACTATTTATGTCATAATTCTTTCTAGTTCATCAAAGAATTTGATGGTTCCTTAGTAGTTAATATTACAACTTTGTACTAACATGGTTGCTGAACCTTCCTTTATTTACTCTGGTTTCTCTTACATTTTAACAGTTAATTGATATTACAACTGCTGTGTAGTTAGCAACTTGAGAAAACTAACATGGCTGCTGAACCTTCCTTTCTTTACCCACTGCTGCTTTGTCTTGTCTCATAAAAAAGTAATAAAATGGTACTTGTAAACTTCAATAAACTTGGCCTGTTGTGTTTATATACTCATAACAATACCTTTTTCCATGGGGAAGTGGAACAGAATTCTTCCTCCGTAAGCCATGCGTGTTGTAAGAGGCGACTAAAATGCCGGGAGCAAGGGGCTAGTAACCCCTTCTCCTGTATATATTACTAAATGTAAAAGGAGAAACTTTCGTTTTTCCTTTTGGGCCACCCCACCTCGGTGGGATACGGCCGGTGTGTTGAAAGAAGAAAGAACAATACCTTTAAAATTTAGGATGCTTATATGTTGTATTTGATATATTTTGAGTTTGATCATTGAAATTTACTCATTATGTATGTGTTGTACCTTCTTTTGTGTTCAGAATTTATTACTGTGCCATTCATGTGCTTGAGCTAGTAGACCTGTTGTCAGAAGGAAACAATTTTATGTGCTTCTAATAGGCCTGAACCACCTGACTATTTTCGGAATACTATTAAAAGTCTGTGCCAGCCTTGGTCTTGAACCAGTAAACTTGTTGCCAGGGCACAGTCTTACCAGTCAGGATAATAAATACAATTAGTGAAAGAAGATCTTTGATAGTATACAATAATTAGAAGAGTAAAGTGGGTTAGTTGAGATGTAATCTTCTCTCCCAAATAAGAAATTACTTAAACAAAGTAATAAGTGAAGCTCATAATTACTTATAAAGTATAGTAATTTACTCAAGAATGTAATATAGTGTACAGTAGAACCCCTGTATCCACTGATTCAGTATCTGCAGTTTCAATTATCCACTGTTTACTGTGGCCTAAAAATACCTCTTAATTTTGCGTAATGGCCCCAAAGTGCAAAAGTAGAAAAGCTGGCAGTTCTTCAAATCCTAAAAGTTGTGAAGCACTTCCCATCATTGAAAAAGTGATAATTCTCCACTTATTATTTTTTATTAACACATTGGCCAATTCCCACCAAGGCAGGGTGGGCCAAAAAAAGAAAAACTTGCATCATCATTCACTCCATCACTGTTTTGCCAGAGGGGTGCTTTACACTATAGTTATAAAACGGCAACATTAACACCCCTCCTTCAGAGTACAGACACTGCACCTCCCATCTCCAGGACTCAAGTCCGGCCTGCCGGTTTCCCTGAATCCCTTCATTAGTGTTACAGTGGTCCCTCGCTTTTCGAAGTTCTCGGCCATCGTAAATTTCGCCAATCATAGGGGTATTTTCGTATAAACATGGACTCGCTTTTCATAGGTTGACTCGCGAATAGTAGTTCGTCCGGGACACGTATGCACGGTGTGAGCCGGGGCGGCCTCCCTACCCAGCCAGTCTGGCATTGTTTACCAGCGAGTGAAGGTCCCCTCAAGTGCTCCTACGAAATATTTCATAATATTCCACTCATTTTAGTGCTTGCAAGTACTAAATAAGCTACCATGGCTCCAAAGAAAGCTTCTAGTGCCAAGCCTGTGGTAAAGAAGGTGAGAAATATGTACAGTGACAAAGTCTTGGGCCATTTTAGGGAAGTGTTAAAGAGACGCCAGAAACAGAGCTCTCTCCACAGTTACTTTGCGAGACAGGACTAGAGTGACTCTCAAGGTGGTCCAAGTGGCATTAAGAAACAGAGAAGAGAAGCAACCCCAGAGAAGCAATTGGTACCTGAGGTGTTGCTGGAAGGGGATTCCCCTTCCAAACTGTAAACAATCCAATCTCTCTCCTCCTCCAGTCTCCCATACACTAAGAAGAATCTCCAATAAAGGTAAGTGTTAAGCTGTTAATGTTTCATTCATCATTTCCCATTGTATTGTTTATGTACTACATGTATATTTCATGTAAAAAGTTTTTTTGCTTTAATACTTCTGGGTGTCAGGAACGGATTAATTGTATTTACATTATTTCTTATGGGGAAAATTGATTCACAAATCGTAAATTTTGTTTATAGTAACGGCTCCAGGAACGGATTAATTACGAAAAACGAGGGACCACTGTACTTTGCTCTCACTCCAACAGCATGTCAAGTATTAAAAACCATTTGTCTCCATTCACTCCTATCAAATACGCTCATGCACACTTGCTGGAAGTTCAAGCCCCTCGCACACAAAACCTCCTTTACCCCCTCCCTCCAACCCTTCCTAGGCCAACCCCTACCCCGCCTTCCCTCCACTACAGATTTATACACTCGAAGTCATTCTGTTTTGTTCCACTCTACATGTCTGAACCACCTCAATAACCCCTCCTCAGCCCTCTGGATAATAGTTTTGGTAATCCCACACCTTCTAATTTCCGAACTATGAATTCTCTGCATTATATTCACACCACACATTGCCCTCAGACATGACATCTACACTGCCTCCAGCCTTCTCCTCGTTCCAACATTCATCACCCATGCTCCACACCCATACAAGAGTGTTGGTACAACTATACTCTCATACATTCCCCTTTTTGCTTCCACGGACAAAGTTCTTTGTCTCTACAGACTCCTAGGTGCACCACTCACCCTTTTCCCCTCATCAATTCTGTGATTCACCTCATCCTTCGTAGACCCATCTGCTGACACGTCCACTCCTAAATATCTGAATACATTCATCTCCTCCATACTCTCTCCCTCCAATCTGATATCCAGTCTTTCGTCACCTAATCCTTTTGTTATCCTCATAACCTTACTTTTTCCTATGTTCACTTTAAATTTTCTTCTTTTACATACCCTACCAAATTCATCCACCAACCTCTGCAACTTCTCTTCAGAATCTCCCAAAAGCACCGTGTCATCAGCAAAGAGCAACTGTGACAACTCCCACTTTGTGTTTGATTCTTTATCTTTTAACTCCACACCTCTTGCAGTTTGGAGAGATATATTGTGTATTTTTATTCGTATATACTTCTAAACTGTTATATTCTGGGCACCTCTGCAAAAACAGTGATTATGTGTGAGTGAGGTGAAAGTGTTGAATGATGATGAATGTATTTTCTTTTTGGGGATTTTCTTTCTCTTTGGGTCACCCTGCCATGGGAGACGGCCGACTTGTTAAAAAAAAAAAAACCACAGTGACATCACACATCCTTGTCTAAGGCCTAACTTTGCTGGGAAATTATCTCCCTCTCTCCTTCATTCTCTAACCTGAGCCTCGTTATCCTTGTAAAAACTCTTCACTGCTTTCAGTAACCTACCTCCTATACCATACACCTGCAACATCTGCCACATTACCCCCCTATCAACCCTTCATATGCCTTTTCTAAATCCATAAATGCCACAAAAACCTCTTTACCTTTATCTAAATACTGTTCACCTATATATTTCACTGTAAACACTTGGTCTACACACCCCCTACCTTTCCTAAAGCCTCCTTGTTCATCTGCTATCCTACTCTCTGTCTTACTCTTAATTCTTTCAATAATAACTCTACCACACTTTACCAGGTATACTCAACAGACTACTTCTTTCAACACACCGGCTGTATCCCACCGAGGTGGGGTGGTCCAAAAAGAAAAACAAAAGTTTCTCTTTTTAAATTTAGTAACTTGTACGGGTGTAGGGGTTACTGGCCCCTTGCTCCCGACTCAGACTTATTCCCCTATAATTTTTGCACTCTTTTATCCCCTTTGCCTTTATACAAAGGAACTATGCATGCTCTCTGCCAATCCATAGGTACCTTACCCTCTTCCATACATTTATTAAATAATAGCACCAACCACTCCAAAACTATATTCCCTCCTGCTTTTAACATTTCTATCTTTATCCCATCAATCCCAGCTGCCTTACCCCCTTTCATTTTACCCACTGCCTCACGAACTTCCCCCACACTCACAACTGGCTCTTCCTCACTCCTAAAGATGTTATTCCTCCTTGCCCTATACACAAAATCACAGCTTCCATGTCTTCATCATGACAGAAATGTTAAAAGCAGGGGAAGATATAGTGTTGGAGTGGTTGGTATTTTTGTTTAATAAATGTATGAAAGAGGGGAAGGTACCTAGGGATTGGCAGAGAGCATGTATAGTCCCTTTATATAAAGGGAAGAGGGACAAAAGAGATTGTAAAAACTATAGAGGAATAAGTTTACTGAGTATACCAGGAAAAGTGTATGGTAGGGTTATTATTGAAAGAATTAGAGGTAAGACAGAATGTAGGATTGTGGATGAGCAAGGAGGTTTTAGAGTGGGTAGGGGATGTGTAGATCAAGTGTTTACATTGAAGCATATATGTGAACAGAACTTAGATAAAGGTAGGGAAGTTTTTATTGCATTTATGGATTTAGAAAAGGTATATGATAGAGTGGATAGGGGAGCAATGTAGGTCTTAGACAGGGATGTGTAATGTCATCATGGCTGTTTAATATATTTATAGATGGGGTTGTAAAAGAAGTAAATACTTAGGTGTTCAGTAGAGGGGTGGGATTAAATTATGGGGAATCAAATAGAAAATGGGAATTGACAGTTACTTTTTGCTGATGATACTGTGATGATGGGAGACTATGAAGAAAAATTACAAAGGTTAGTGAATGAGTTTGGGAGTGTGTGTAAAGGTAGAAAGTTGAAAGTGAACATAGAAAAGAGTAAGGTGATGAGGGTATCAAATGATTTAGATAAAGAAAAATTGGATATCAAATTGGGGAGGAGTATGGAAGAAGTGAATATTTTCAGATATTTGGGAGTTGGCATGTCAGGGGCTGGATTTATGAAGGATGAAGTTAATCATGTAATTGATGAAGAAAAAAAGGTGAGTGGTGCGTTGAGGTATATGTGGAGACAAAAAAATGTTATCTATGGAGGCAAAGAAGGGAATGTATGAAAGTATAGTAGTACCAACATTCTTATATGGGTGTGAAGCTTGGGTTGTAAATGCTACAGCAAAGAGACGGTTGGAAGCAGTGGAGATGTCCTGTCTAAGGGCAATGTGTGGTGTAAATATTATGCAGAAAATTCAGAGTTTGTAAATTAGGAGAAGGTGTGGAGTTAAAGTATTAGTCAGAGAGCTGAAGAGGGGTTGTTGAGGTGGTTTGGTCATTTAGAGAGAATGGATCAACGTAGAATGACATGGAGAGCATATAAATTTGTTAGGGGAAGGAAGGCGGGGTAGGGGTCGTCCTCGAAAAGGTTGGAGGGAGGGGGTAAAGGAGGTTTTTGTGGGTGAAGGGCTTGGACTTCTAGCAAGCGTGCGTGAGCGTGTTAAGAGTGAATGGAGACGAATGGCATTTGGGACCTGACGAGATTTTGGAGTGTGAGCAGGGTAATATTTAGTGAAGGGATTCAGGGAAACCGGTTATTTTTATATAGCCAGAATTGAGTCCTGGAAATGGTAAGTACAATGCCTGCACTTTAAAGAAGGGATTTGGGATATTGGCAGTTTGGAGGGATGTGTTGTGTATCTTTATACGTATATGCTTCTAAACTGTTGTATTCTGAGCACCTCTGCAAACACAGTGATTATGTGTGAGGTGAAAGTGTTGAATGATGATGAAAGTATTTTCTTTTTGGGATTTTCTTTCTTTTTGGATCACCCTGCCTCAGTGGGAGACTGCCGACTTGTTAAAAAAAAAAAATCTTCCCGATACCTCTAACTCTTCATTTAATAACTCTCCTTTCCTATTTTTAACTGACAAATCCATATGTTCCCTAGGCTTCCTCAACTTATTATTCTCACTCCAAAACTTTTTCTTATTTTCAACAAAATTTGTTGTGCATAATTTATCAGTGAAACTCAATAATAGGATGTATAGGACTTAATATATAGGGTTTGACACTATCCACAGTTTTGGTATCCACTGCAGGTCCTTGGAACGTATACCTTGCAGATATGGGGGGTCTTACTGTATTTAGTTTTTAACCCTTTCACATATTGAGTTCAGCTCACTCAGATAAGCTGTGAGCATTGAATTTTGGCCTAGATATGAAAGAAGGGGCCTTTGCAGTGCAAGATGGGAAAAGCAAACCTCTGACATTGTGTTTGGTTTAAAATGTTGACTCTGATGTTTTTTCTAGGCTGGTTTTATTTGTAGTTTCTTGGTATCATTTGATAGAATGGAAGATATACTACTGAAATAGAGATGATTTTGGTTGGCTTCAAGACCAGAAGTAGTTTGGAATTGGGCTCAGATTAGTGGAAAGATTTGATTTTTGACAATTTTTCTGAGGTCAGGTAAGGGGATCCCCCTAATCCCCACTCTGTTTTTTTTTTTAGGGGGGGATTACTAGATCTGTTTCAATTATTGGGACACACTAAACCATGACCAATCATTCCTGGTTATATTTTAATATCCAAGAAAGAGGGTTAAACTTATGTTTTTGTGTGACAAATTCAAAATGAGGGCAATTGTAATATAGGAAAGGCTGATGATATGATTAATGAACAGAGGAAATATTATTTTAGTGGCTAGACTGTCTACAGTGTTTATTTTTGACTGTCTTTTTGAGTTTTGTGTAAAATTGGCCAAATTACCAACTTCTGTGGACTTTATATGGTAGTCTGATAGTTGAATGGCCAATTTCATGTTTTCATTCAATAGAATGGAAGGCATATTAGCTAAATAGCTAAGAATTTGGTTTGAACAATGGAACTGGCTTAAAATAAGAAATTCATCAATGAGTAATTGAGCCGAGACCACCAACTTTACACCAGTGTAATTCTGTAAGTGTTCCATCAAATCCTGCATTTTTGCTTCATTACCTTCTTGAGAAAGATTCTCTACTATTATGGAAGAATTTTTTGTTTTTTAAATTCCCAACATTGTCAGTCCCGACAGTGAGGGGGTTAACCCGTAAACGGTCCAAGCGTATATATACGTTTTTTCAGCATTTGAAAGTATGTAAAAAAAGTAGATCTTTTTTTTTTTTTACATTTGAAAATGTGCAAAAAAACTTTGATCTACTTTTTTTTTTTGTTATATTTGAAAATATGTAAAAAAAAAACGTAGATCTACTTTTGTAGCACTACACATGTGAACGTAGATCTGCTTGGACCGTTTACAGGTTAAAGTTGACTTGGCTGAATAGGTCTATAAAGGTAGAATAATTTTCCAACTCTAAGGCTTAGTGATCCAAAGAGAAAAACACAAATAGTTCCTCTTTTGTTTTGTAATGAGAAAACCCAAAATAAACAAGCATATGAAATAAGTTTCTGTCTAGGTTCATGAAAGTCATTCTTATGTTTGCTAGCTTGGCCTGTGCTGTCAATGTTATTCTCTTTACATGTTCCTCAGAAGACAGGTCTGGGGGTATTAGTTAATGTCACATCTTTAAGTGTGACACCCCTGCAGTGTGTGTCTTCTTATGAATCTATGAAGATCTACTTTTTTTAATTAAGCTTGTAATTTGTTTTATAATCAATGTCATTGCTGTTCACAAATATGGTGAGTGTATGTGTTATTACCTTCCTACTGTATATTTTATTGTTTGTTTGAATTCTTAGTTGTAGAACAGAATTGGATACAAAAGGAGATAGTAAGATGGGATAAATCAAACACAACAGTTACAAGTGGTAATTAACTGCAACCCATTATTGAGTGTGCACCATCTGTATGGAACACACATGTACTAAAATGGAAAGAAACTAGTTAAAGTATAAAGAAATGCATCCAGAGTGGTACCCTGAGTTGAGAGGAATGAGCTATGAAGAGTATCAATGCTAATAGAGTAATGAAGAACAAGAGGGAATTTGACCATAACATACAAATACTGGGGCATGGAGAGTCAACAAGGAAAAATTTAAACTAGAACAAGAAGACATGGTTGAAAATTACACATACAAATGAGTCAAAGGTATATCAGAAAGCATTTCTTAACATTCTGTTAAAAAAGTAAAATGTAACTTAGTGGAAGTCGAGATACAAGTTCAATTTCTGTAACTAATATAAAATAAAATAGGATTTTGATATAATTAAAGCAACAAATGGACTGTTTCGGTTTCTTTTGGTTTTCATTAAAATCTAGTGCAGCAATTGATTATATACTGGAAAGACATTAGCACAGGAAATAGTATCTGTTTTGAAGAATTAGACACTTTTGCAACATTTGGGTATCTTTACTGTGAAAATGTTTTGCCAAAAATGGCTTTTTCAGTCTGGAGTGAATGTCAGCTTGTAGAAATGAAGTACCTTTAACCCTTTGACTGTCGCAAGCCGAATTCTGAAACTGTCTTCCTATGTCGCAAAATATTTGAAAAAAAAAAAAAATTCTTACCAAAATGTTAGGATTAATTTGCCGAGTGTTTTAAGCCTAAAAATTTTGTTTTTGCGATCAGTACTTGCTGAGATATAGAGGCATAAAGTTGGCAGAAAATGAGCCGCGTATGGCAACAGCAGCAAATGCTGCTCACCCAGTACACTTACATTTACTCCCATTTTCAATATTTTCCAATATTTTTTTCCAAGTAACTTACGTAAGGTGCAATCTATGTATATACACTTGTTGTATGCAACACAATAACCACACAAACATTATCATTATATTATTTACAAAACTTGTTTACACAAACCAACAATACAAAAAATTTTTTATTACTATTGTTCTATACTATATATACACATACAGAGTCACTGGACACTTTCCTACAACTGCTATTAGCATCTGGAAGCTTGGTGTTGTGTGTGTGCGTGTGGACTTCTAAATGTGCTGAGTCAGGGTGTGGCTGCTGTCAAAATGACAAATTATACCATCACTCATTACCCTTACTGCTTGTCAACATCCATGGGGTCGCATGCCTTCTTTCCCACCTTCCTTCCTTCCTCTCATCTCTTCCTTCCCTCCTTTCTTCCTTCCATCTGGTATCCTGGGCATTGCTTTCAGTCACAAACTCCTCAAATCATTAAATTCATCTTCAGAGACACTTCCATCTGTGTTAGAGCTATCACTGGGGAAAAGAAGAGTCCCAGATTCGCTGGGGAGTCAGATATTTCTTACTGCTAGGCATGCTGAACAAGGACAACTGAAATGGCATTCCCACAATGTACCACTGGCTCCCTGATTTTTAACAAAAAAAGGCACAATACCGTGACTGGAACGATACACAAATAACCCGCACATAGAAGAGAGGAGCTTACGACGACGTTTCGGTCCGACTTGGACCATTTACGACTGAAATGCCGTCGTAAGCTCCTCTCTTCTATGTGTGGGTTATTTGTGTATCCCTGATTTTTTTTTTATACTGTGCACCATGGAGACCCATTCTCTTACATGTGGGCCTACCAGCTTTCTCCCGCTTGATTTGAAGCCGCTAGAATTTACACGTATTAATACGTCAAAACCATTGGCTCGTAAGATGTATATATACTGCCAAAACAGTCAAAGGGTTAAGGGCTTTTGAAATGTTTTCTCTGGCTCTGTCTTAGCTCATGGTAGTTTCAGACACAATGCTCTCTTCTGTTGCCAAATACAGTACTCTCTCATATATCATGCAAGTTACATTCCTGAAGTAACACTGTGCAGTAGGACTTCCATATCAACAGGTTCGGTTTCTGTGGTTTCAGTTATCCACGGTTTACTGTGGCCCGAAAAAAATTAATTTTGCTTAATGATGACTATGAAGTGGTGATGGTGGCAGTTCTTCAAAGTCTGACATAAGTTGTGAAGTGCTTCCCATCAGTGAGAAAGTGCTAATTCTTGACTTACTGTGCATAAGTTATCAATTAAACTTTATCATAGGTATGCATGTAAACGAAAAACGACATGTATACGGTTCGCTACTATCTTGGAACATATCCCCCACTGATGCAGGGGGACTACAGTATATTAAATTGAGATACACAATGTGAATAACACACATGGGTTATGTTCCATAGACCTCCAACAAAGGCAAGCAATTTTAATTTTTAAACATCAAAAATGAAGTGTTTGATACCTCGCACTGAAAATGTCATTTTTTGCATGGAGAGGGTTTGTTTTGCTTTACTTAGCCTAGTTAAGATGTAGTTAGGTTTACTCAGTAGATTTAACCTAGCATAGCCCTACAAAGTCAAACAATGGGATTATACATGTAGCTAAAAAACGAAAGTAAAACAAATAATTTTTTTACCTTCAATTTTAGTTGTTAGTATATCTAACGGTCTTAAAATGTGTGTGGAGAGGGTTAGTTTGGCAGTGTACAGTATTTATAAACATCTAGCAGACAGTACTAACTGCTACCACTCATTGACTAGCATCATCACTTGTCAAAGTTGTTACTTACTGAGTCTTCAGGTGTTCTGTAGTGCATCTCTGCTTTTTTTTTTTCCTGTAATACTGTATATAGCTACTGATAAGGTATCACTGCTTGGTCCAGAACCCATTTTCCAGAAATCCTTTTAAGATGTGTCAGTGTCTTTTTTTTTTTTCAGTCAAAAGATCTGCAATTTTGCCAATGGTATGTATATCAGGTTATTTTTCCTCATCAAATTCTGCTTTCTGCCTTTCTTCTGTCTCTGAGGATTAACCTCCTCTAATACTGCCTATGCAGTTTGTTCTTTGTCTCCATCATCTAAGAGTTCATTCATATCTAGCTGCATGCTATGTCTTAAAAGCCCTCAGCTGTCACTCTCCTTGCCAGATCAACAATTCTCTGGGCCTGAGTCTACTGAAGGAAAACCTGTCAAATTATTCACTACACTGAACCACAGTGTTCTCCAGCCTGCATTATTGTTGATGTGATAGTTGATCCCATATAAGTTTTGTGCTAGTTATTGCATCTGTAATTTTAAATGTGAGAGAACTCTGACAATCCTGTATTTGGGTTGTCATACATTGTTGCAAAGAGTTTCTTTACCACCCTGCATGTGTAATAGTAGTGGGACTTTAATATCTTGAGTACTTCTTGATCCAGTGGTTATATGAAAAGATATATTTCCTAGCAAACACAGCTTTCATATTTGGATCCAGGGCTTTCATGATTTGGGGAGTGAGATGTAAGTTTTCATTTTAGGTTTTGTATACATAACCTCATGGTCTTGAGGGCATGAAAGCATTATGAGCATGTAAAAAGCACTCTGGTTAGCCAGACTTGAGTTCTGGAGGTTGGGAGTACAGTGACTGCACTCTGAAAGAGGAATGTTAGGAGGGGCATCTGAATTGTAGAATCCATGCACCTCTGGCAAGACAGTGATAGAGTTAATGATGGTAAAAGTGTTTCTTTTTTGGATTGCCCTACCATGGTGGGAGAGAGCCAATGTGTTAAAAAAAAAGAAAAACTATATACAGTGGACCCTCGAGTTTCGGCAGCCTTGACTTTCGTGAAATTCGACCTTCGGCGAGTTTCTTTGGCAAAATTTGGCCTCGAGTTTCGTGATTAGACTCGTGTTTTGGCGCCCGTCCGGTACCCGTCCGCCCGTCACCGCGCACACCAAGCCAATCTCCCATGCCATTCACGCTCAGTGTGCCATTGTTTACCAACACGTGACCGTCACCCCGCGGGTTCATACAATACATTTCATAATAATCCATTGTTTTTTGTGCTTGCAACTGCTAAATAAGTCATCATGGACCCAAGGAAACCTAGTGCAAGCCCTTTGGTAAATAAAGTGAGGAACACGATCCAGAGGGATTTTGAAGGGTTTGAGGCAGACCCTGTCCCTGCCGGCCCTCTGCCTGTTGTGGAAGGTGTTGTGGCATTGGGCAAGTCTATGGGGTTGGAGGTGAGTGACGGGGATGTGGAAGAGTTGGTGGAGGACCACAGGGAAGAGCTAAACACTGAAGAATTGCAAGAGCTTCAACTGGAACAGCATCAGACCACAGCTGAGGAACTTGCTTCAGAGGAGGAGGAAGAGAGCGAAGGAGGTGCCTTCTTCAAAGATCAAGGAGATTTGTGCCAAATGGAATGAGTTGCAAAGTTTTGCTGAAAAGTATCACCCTGACCAAGCTGAAACAAGCCATATCTGCAACATGTTCAATGACAGTGTTGTGTCCCACTTCAGGAAAATCTTAAAGAAACGCCAGAAAAAGACACCTCTGGACAGATATTTTGTGCGACAGGGGTCCAGTGACTCAAGTTGTTCCCAGTGGCATTAAAAGAAGAAGGGAAGTAACCCCAGATAAGGACTTGCTACCTAAAGTCCTAATGGAAGGAGATTCTCCTTCCAAACAATAGTGTACACCTTCCTCCTATCCCCTCCTCCTGTCTTCCATCTACCCAGAAGTCTTCAGTAAAGGTAAGTGTAATGTTATTATTATTTTTTATATGCATGTACTTGATTTCTCATTGATTTCAGTATATAAATCTTTATTTAATTTGAAAAAAATATTTTATTTTAATATTTTTGGGTGTCTGGAACAGATTAATTTTATTTCCATTATTTCTTATGGGGAAAATGGTTTCGAGTTTCGTGAATTTCGACTTTCGGCAGGCTCTCTGGAACGGATTAATCACGAAACTCGGGGGGGGGGGGGGTCCACTGTATATTCAATCTAGGCTAACCTAATAATTCAAACTGTGACTTATATTCATTGGGGCTCCATAAATAAAAGATTCTTTGGTAGAGATACATCCTGAGTGAAAGAATAAATTAATGCCTTAATCACTCAATAAACAGGACCTCACTATCCAGGCTGGTTAGTTAAACTGTCACATAACAGGTGATTGTTTGTTTCAAAGGATGGGAATTCTAGGAATGATAAATAAGCATCAGTTTGCACTCAAAATTACCTGATGCATTAGTGAAGAGAAGCAAGCATAAATGATCTTTTGCTTCTTTATTTACACTAAGCTAGGCAGTCTTCACTTGAAACCTAAAATGTATCGGTGAACTATAGGCATTGGGGATTTCTGTGTGGTAACCAGCCAAATTTCAAATTTTTCCCAACTTTATTGTGCAAACACTTGGTCAAATCTCTTAATCTGAATAGCAATATACTAATTAAAATGTGGTATCAAGAGGTGCAGTGTGAGGTTCAACTATAATGACAATGATTTATGAAGCTTAAATACATTGTGACTTCCACCGGAAGGAGAAGCTGGTATAGTCATCATTTCAGTGGCAGTAGCTATCCAAGTTCTTAGGAAGTTTTTTTTTTTTTTATCTTTTCACAGAGATAATTATATTGCATATGTATCAGATTGCTAGGTAGTAGGTTGGTAGACAGCAGCCGCCCAGGGAGGTACTACCGTCCTGCCAAGTGAATGTAAAATGAAAGCCTGTAATTGTTTTACATAATGGTAGGATTGCTGGTGTTTTTTCTGTCTCATAAACATGCAATGTTTCAGGTACGTTTTGCTACTTCTGCTTACACTTAGGTCACACTACACATACATGTACAAGCATATGCATACACACCCCTCTGGGTTTTCTTCTATTTTCTTACTAGTTCTTGTTCTTGTTTATTTCCTCTTATCTCCATGGGGAAGTGGAACAGAATTCTTCCTCCGTAAGCCATGCGTGTTGTAAGAGGCGACTAAAATGCCAGGAGCAAGGGGCTAGTAACCCCTCCTCCTGTATATATTACTAAATGTGAAAGGAGAAACTTTTGTTTTTCCTTTTGGGCCACCCCGCCTCGGTGGGATACGGCCAGTGTGTCGAAAGAATTAAGATGATGTATCAGATTAGTATAATGAAGATGTTTTAAGTTGATTCTGTTATATTTTGAATTATTACCAATATATTATGGGAAAATTCCCAATAGCACACATCTGGAAAACACTATAAATTTAAGTCTGTGATTTCAGTGGTATGTTTAATGGTAAAATGCAGTTAAATGTATCTCATAGGTTTTAAGTATAGCTGACAGCTGTGATGTAGTTTTTGTAGCTCATTTTTTTTTGCCTTTAATTTACCTTTTTTTTTTTTTTTTAAATCTGAATGGTCAACAAGTTATATTGGACATTCCATTTTTTTATATCATGAGCACAATAATGGCACAGATTTGATGTCATATGTCTTGTTAATTCGTTTGTTATCTAGTATAAAATAATAATATTACTGTATGTGTGGCTTTACTAATGAGAGATGCATGCCCAGTTATCTTGCCTATTTTGTGATTACATCAGTGGTACAGCCAAGATTTCGATCTGGGGGTAAACGCTTATGCCAGAATTTTAATGTAGGGGCTCAAAAATCATAAGGTACTGGTAAAAACAAGAAATTCATTTTTAAAAACATATGATTTTCAGTATAATCTGAAATAAATTAAAAAGTGCATTGGCATAAGAGGGGCTTTACCCATTAGCTCCGTCCCAGTGACTGCACCACAAATTACAATCTCTGTATGGTTCATGCATCATCAACTGCAGCTTGTAATATGCAGTACACAAACATCAAAAATCATTGCTGTACTTATTTGCCTCTTGCATATTACTCCTTTTCTGTCTCATTCTTGTTAAACAAGTATATATTTTTAACAAAAATGTATTATTGATTTTGTGTGATTATACACATTTAGTATATGAAAATTATTATAGGTTTTTACCCAGTTAGATGATTAGTAATCAATATGCAGCAAATGACACATGAGTCATACCCTAGAATGTTTAGTTTGGCTCTTATATTTTGTTCAGAATTACTTGGTAACAGATCACTTGAATGTTAATTAATGTCATAATTCTCTTGTGATTTGTTAAATGATTTTTCAATACTAAAACACATTCTAGCTTTAGTGCATGTGTATTGTAGTTAGTCGTCACGTTACTTCATTTGGTATTGTTTCAAACTACAACCTCTCCTCACTTAGCGACGTACTCGTTTACCGACGTCTCGAACTTACGACGGGCTTTCTGACCAGTATTCATACCTAAATAATGGATATTAGAGCTGATTTCCTCTATTCTGTTTATTTCAGTATACAGTACACTACTGTATAAACATTTAAAACTATACCAGAAATGTTATAAATGGTGCAAAGGTGACATTAAAACAATATCAAAGATGGTTGACACAAATTCACTCCCGTTACAGTATGCTCCTCACTTAGCAATGAATTTGTTTACCAATGTGGTCTTAGGAGCGGAACTCTGTCATTATATGAAGTGAGGAGAGGCTGTATTAGTAATTTATAAAGTTGGTAATGTTAATGCTCTTTGTTGTTAAAATTTTGAAATTATGTAATTTTCTACAGCTCCTGTACATTGTAGTCTTAAGTTACCTTATTGCTCATTTACTATAATGTTTAAAACATTTGACCCTTAAACTGTCCAACCGTAGATCTGCATCCACGTGTGGGGGGCTTCGAACGTAGATCTACGTTTTTTTTTTACATGCTTTCAAATGGGGAAAATCAAGGTCAGAACACTACGCACGTGAACATAGATCTACGTTTGGACAGTTTAAGGGTTAATTTTCTCCTCTTAAAGGTATTCATAAATAACAGAGTAGCATAACAAGAGTAAATGCATATTGATTACTTTAGGACAAAAATAAGTATGTAACAAGAGAACACATACTAATGCAGTAATTAGCCATCTACATACAAGATACCAGCTTGTACTGCACTCGTACTGACAGATGCATGTGTTAGTTGTGGACAAAATATTCACATAGTATTTTCAAAGATATGCACATAATTTGACTTAATTTCTTTGCATCATCACTATAGCATACTACTTTTGTAATTTTAATGAATAACAAGTAAAAGTAATACAGTGGTACCCCGAGTTTTGGCCATAATTCTTCCCAGAAGGCTGTTCGAGTGCCATTACCGAACAAATTTGTTCCCATAAGGAATAACGTAAATTAGATTAGTCCGTTTCAGACCCCCAAAAGTATGCTTAGAAAAGTACTTACAATAATACATTTACATAATTGTTCAAGTTAGGAGCTGTTCGAAACTCAGGGTACCACTGTAAATTTATTCTACATCAGCAAGTTAATACTGTATAATACAACTGTGCATCAAAATAATTTTAAGTCATAACTTTCTTAACTATAAATTTCCTTCTAAAACTTACATGTGTTACTTAATATATATAAACAGAATGTTTGGAGATGTCTTGCCTCCTCACCCTTTCTCGTTTGAATCCTAAGTTTTGTCTCTAGTATCAGTAAAAGCAAACTCTGCAGACCTGAGCTTCTTGTATCTTTCACAAACTGATGGTAACTTCATTGCTAGCCAAGTATTGGGTACTTGTTTGGAGGTGAGTTATGTGTACATGTCATGTTTGTATCTATTCTGTTTCTGATTGCAAAAGTGAGAGATAATAGGTTTGTGAATGAATGTATTTCATCTATGTGCACACACATCCACATACTTGCTTGTAATTTTGAAATTCACACATTTTTTGTGTATGGGAAATGCACTTCAGGGATGTATGTTTATATGTAGTTTTTCCATATATGTATACACATGGTAGTTTATATACACAAAGTTACTGTACATATATGCAGATGTGGAATTATCTATGCATTGATAAGTATGTACATAGATGTATGTGCACTTCCTTTTATGCATATATTTATATATGCAATAAGATCACAGTAAACAGGTGATTTCTTTCAGAGTGGTTGTTTTGCATATTTATATATGTATACTGTACATGTCTTCATGTGTATTTGTTTATAATCTTTTGTTTATATATTTGAGCTGTGGGTGTGAAAACATTGTTGACCATATATTTTGAATATATTTTGCATACAATTAAAAAATTTCATATGCCGTATAATTCAACACAACTCCTCATGTCACAAGGAATTTAAATGCTATACTCATGAAAAAAAATTATGCAAACTGTTATAAAAAAATCATTCAGTAGTGGTACATGTAGACAATTAGTGCTGATTATATAGTCCCTTTGGTGTACAGAACCATCCATGATGGATATCTGCAAGTGAAGCAATATTGTGAGCACAATTACATTTTTGTAATTAAATTGTTTTCCCATTAAATATTAGCTGTTGTTTTTCATAAGCAATTTATTGGAATGTCCTTTGTCCTGTGCAGATATTATATGAACATGCTTTGGTAAATGATAGCTAATATGCCAAACTATATATTTTACCCTTAGTATATTTAATATATCTTAACCCTTTGACTGTCGCAACCCCCAATCCTGAGGTGTCTCCTGGTGTCGCAAAATTTAAAAAAAAAAAATTATTTTTTCTTATGAAATGATAGAGAATCTTTTCCCGATTGTAATGACACCAAAAAAACGAAATTTGATGGAAAACTGACAGAATTATGCTCTCGCGAAGTTAGCGACCTCGGTGCTGTTTACAAATCGGCGATTTCGCCCACTTTGAGCCCTATTTTCGGGTAATTTCATTGTTCCAGTCGCCCAAACTCATAGCTATTTCTTTAGAACTTCATTTTTTCTATCGACTGAGTACAAGAAACTGCCCATTTACTGATTTCAACTACCTAATAATGTGGTCAGAAATTTGCAATTTGGCCAATTTCACGAAAACTAAAAAATATGACAATTTCAAAATAAGGTCCAGAATGAACAATGCAGACATTCCTGGCTCTAAAATAACGTTTTCTTTGTTCATCAGTCACGTCTCCAGGCCCCTCTGATATTACTCTTGCTTTCTATTTTGAATTTTTATTCAAACAAAAAATATTAGACTTACTATTATGCAGACTACTGCAATGCTGTAATAACTGTATAAATAACATCAACCCATTCATGACTGCATATTAGAATGGCTAGTTGGACATTTATTGGACAATGGCATCATTTGTTTACTTTTGAACATTGGTAAAAATCAAACATTTCCCCTACTTTGAGCTCCATTTCTAGGTTCTTTTTATAGTAAAATCAATCAAAAACACCTCTATTTCTGTAATATGTTTTCCATTCTATCAAATGAGACCAAGAAAACGAGAATACAACCATAAATACTATACGAAAATAGACCACAAAGTCGGCATTTTAATTAAAAAAAACGGTCGGAGTTTTTTTTTTTCTCATTATGCACTGCGTGCTCCAGGATTTTTTTTATATGGTGCACACTGACCACACAGACCCATTCTCTCACATGTGGGCCTACCAGCTTTCTCCTGCTTGATTTGAAGCTGCTAGAATTTATGAGTATATATACGTCAAACACGGCACCTCGTAAAACGTATATATACGGCCGCGACAGTCAAAGGGTTAACAGTACAAATAGTACTGTACAGTGCATACCCATGGATATCAGTTTCTCTTGTTGTGGGGATATTATGGCCTTTGTTGATACTGTGGTCACATTGACTAATACTGTCGATATTGTGGTCACACTTGGTGGGACTTCTTTCCTGGAGTGGCCACAAATTATGAATGCTTAAAGTAAATACCCATGGTTATTCTTTGGGTAACATGCTTCTTCAGTGAGTAGGTCAAAGTCAAATGGGAGGCTCAGTGCAGGGCTTCCTAAATCATTAAGCTGGTCTTGCATCACTCCTCTGCTGTCTTTGTTATTTGTTATTAATTTATTTGTCAGGCAAATATCACCTGATGCAGGTATTAATCATAAGATGACATGCTCCCTCCATTATCCTCTCTACAAGATGTATGCAATGCCATTTTGTCCATTTCCATGAGCTTCACAATCCTTCCACATATAGAATAGTTACGGATTTTAGTAAGACTAACTTATTGCTCCCCTTTAATCTCTGTATTCATGTTCTAGTGTTTTTTTTGTTTTTTGTTTTTTTAACAAGTCGGCCATCTCCCACCAAGGCAGGGTGACCCAAAAAGAAAGAAAATACTTTCATCATCATTCAACACTTTCACCTCACTCACACATAATCACTGTTTTTGCAGAGGTGCTCAGAACACAACAGTTTAGAAGCATATACATATAAAGATACACAACATATCCCTCCAAACTGCTAATATCCCAAACCCCTCCTTTAGAGTGCAGGCATTGTACTTCCCATTTCCAGGACTTAAGTCTGGCTATATGAAAATAACTGGTTTCCCTGAATCCCTTCACTAAATATTACCCTGCTCACACTCCAACAGCTCGTCATGTCCCAAATACCATTCGTCTCCATTCACTCCTATCGAACACGCTCAAGCACGCCTTAATTTAATTTACCTCCCCTTAACGTTCAACCTCTATCTTATTTTTTTCTCCCTGCTTGGAAAGTTCCAATGATTCAATGTTGCTTCCTCCCCTTTCTTTCCTTGTCCAAAGGCTCACATGCCTACTTCAAACTTACATTCATTCTTTATTGAACACTTTCAATCAAATTCTCATGTCATAGTCATGTACACTGATGATTCCAAATCCCACAGATAGTGAAGCATATGTGGTTGTTTTTCCAGATAGAATAATCCAAGCACATTTGCTAGAGTTGACCAGCATTTTCACTACAGTTACCGTACGTGCAATTCTCACTGCTATCATACACATTCCAACCATGTCTACCTAGTCATTTACTGTTGTTGCTGACACTTGAACTGCTTTACATGCTCTCCAGAAATTTGACTCCCCTTATCCCATCATCAAAAACAATTATGAAAAAATTGCACACGAGCGATCATACAAAAGCAAAGTAAGCCAAATCCACAAGAGAATGAATACAACTAGTTATTTTCATCTTCTAGTGGCTTGTTTTGAATATAATTATGCTTGTCATATTTCTAGCAAGCACAAAATTGTTGCTTTCTGTTGGGTCCTTTGGCATGCCAATGCTGAGAATAATAAAGACAAAGACTAGGCAGCTTGATCAGCTATTCATGAACTACCAGTCTACCGTAGGGGTATTCCTTTCTCAAACTCTCTTCCAGCACACTCAATTTCGAAATCGCTGGTAATAATGATGGTCTAAGTTAGAGTGCAACAAATTATTTTCTGTCAAACCACAGTTAGGTTCCTGGACATATTCCCATCACTTTCAGGCTTGGGAAACTACACTCTTGCAATTACAAATCAGGCACATGCATCTCATACACAGATATGGTGATATACCAGATGTAGAAACACCTGGCACCTCTCTGTGAGGACTACTAGGTCACACTGTCATTTCACCATACCTTAATAGACTCTCCTATATAATGGAGCACACAGTTAACTTCCAACATCTCAAATGCCATGACGGAATCACTCTAATAATAATAATAATAGGTTGGTAGACAGCAACCACCCACGGAGGTACTACTGGCCTGCCAAGTGAGTGTAAAACGAAACCCTGTAATTGTTTTACATGATGGTAGCATTGCTCGTGTCTGTTGTCTGTCTCATAAATATGCAAGATTACAGGTACGTCTTGCTACTTCTACTTATAATTAGGTCACACTACACAGACATGCACATGTTTATTTATACACACTCATCTGAGTTTTCTTTGATTTTATCTTAATAGTTCTTGTTCTTATTACTTTTCCTCTTACATCCACGGGGAAGTGGAATAAGAATCTTTCCTCCGTAAGCCATGCGTGTTGTAAAAGTCAACTAAAATGTCGGGAACAATGGGCTAGTAACCCCTTTTTCTGTAATAATTACTAAAACGAATAAGAAGAAAATTCTCAAAGTGGGATGTCTGAATGTGTGTGGATGTTGTGCGGATGATAAGAAAGAGATGATTGTGGATGTTATGAATGAGAAGAAGCTGGATGTCCTGGCTTTAAGTGAAACAAAGCTGAAGGGGGTGGGAGAGTTTCAGTGGAGAGGAATAAATGGGATTAAGTCAGGGGTTTCAAATAGAGTTAGAGCTAAAGAAGGAGTAGCAATAATGTTGAAGGATAAGCTATGGCAGGAAAAGAGGGACTATAAATGTATTAATTCAAGGATTATGTGGGGTAAAATAAAGGTTGGATGTAAAAAGTGGGTTATAGTAAGCGTATATGCACCTGGAGAAGAGAGAGAGAGAGAGAGAGAGATTTTGGGAAATGTTGAGTGAATGCATGGGGTGTTTTGAACCAAGTGTGGGAGTACTTGTGGTTGGGGATTTCAGTGCTAAAGTGGGTAAAAATGTTGTGGAGGGAGTAGTAGGTATATTTGGGGTGCTGGGGGTAAATTCAAATGGGGAGCCTTTAATTGAGCTATGTGTAGAAGAGGTTTGGTAATAAGTAATACACATTTTATGAAAAAGAGGATAAATAAATATAAATATAGCACGTAATGAAAGTAGTTTATTAGATTATGTATTGTTGGATAAAAGGTTGATGGGTAGGCTCCAGGATGTACATGTTTATAGAGGGGCAACTGATGTGTCAGATCATTATTTAGTTGTAGCTACAGCTAGAGTAAGAGGTAGATGGGACAAGAGGAAAATGACAACAAGTAAGAGAGAGGTGACAGTGTTTAAACTAAGGGAGGAGGAAGTTCGGGTGAGATATAAGCAACTATTGGCAGAAAGATGGGCTGGTACAAGTATGAGTAGTGGAGGGGGTTGAAGAGAGTTGGAATAGTTTTAAAAATGCAGTATTAGAATGTGGGGCAGAAGTTTGTGGTTATAGGACAGTGGGTGCAGGAGGAAAGAAGAGTGATTGGTGGAATGAAGTAAAGGGTGTGATAGAAGAGAAAAAGGTAGCTTATTAGAGCTTTTTTACAAAGCAGAACCCCTCAAGGAAGGTTCCTTGATGTTGGTGAGGGGCTCTTGATTTAGGGAATTAGATCTGTGCTCTAGTTCCCCGAATTAAGCCTGAATGCCTTCCACATCCCCCCCCAGGTGCTGTATAATCCCCCGGGTTTAGCGCTTCCCCCTTGATTATAATAATAATAATACAAAGCAGAAGTGTTATAAGCAGAGTGTTATAAGTGTGTTATAAGTGTTATAAGAGTGTTATAAGAGCAGAGTATATGGAGAGTAAAAGAAAGCTGAAGAGTGGTGAGAGAGTGCAAAAGGAGAGCAGATGACAGAGTGGGACAGGCACTGTCAAGAAATTTTAATGAAAATAAGAAAATATTTTGGAATGAGTTAAACAAGTTAAGAAAGCCTAGGGAACGAATGGATATGTCA